GTTTCAAAGTGTGTTATCATGGGCTGATGACAATCAGAACCCCACACCCCCGCCTCAGGGTTTTTGCAAACCAATGGCCCAGGAAAAGTGAACAACTCCTGGCTGCAAAGCCTGACATCACTGTAGCTACATCCATCTTTAAAGGGCTCCCAGTTGGCTCGATCTGTGACCACAGTAAACATTTTCCTGATGCGTTCATGGTCCCAGTGGCTACTTTCACACACTGACGAATACAAAACGAGATTCATTTTTTCATCACGGTCTCCGTTATAATGCAGGAGGAAGATAAATCCAGGCATGTCTTACTGTGTGACTCACTACTGTCTGAGTGTGCATCACCCCTCGGTCCATGGGACATCTGGCTGCTAAGCTAAGCTAATGACCTTTAGCCCAGTTATGGACCTCCCCCAGGTGGGACAAGAGGACAAGGAAATGGGTGAATGGGGAAGTCTTCACTAACTGTAGAGGTTACATGCTTCTGTTATGTACAGTATATGGTCAAAGAACACACCTAACACAACATAGCTCTTGGCCAGGATGATGGGAAATACCTGACAGAGTGACCAGCTAATATTGTGGAGACACAACCTCATTTTCCCCCAGGAGAAAACCAACAGACTCTCAAGTCTTTGACCTTTGATCTCCTTTTACTGACGTGTTGTTCAGAGTCGGCTGTCCAGTGTGAAATGTTGGGACATCACAAGGGTTCAGACTTTCTCAAAAGCAGCAGATTCCACCGTTCAAGGCTGGACTCAATCTCCCACTTGGTGAGGTGTTGAAATATTAACACAGGTCTCTATACAACGTTTTATTTGAACCGTGAAACATATCAAATGTATAATGTCATCCAAAACATTTTGACCAAAATTAACATTTAAATTTCAACATGGATTAAAATATGTGAACTAAAAAGGGAAAAATCACAAACTAGATCAAACATTCGATTTGGCTTTTGGTGGCACGTTTCTGACCATCCCAACATCGTAGTGAAGTCCCAGGCCT